TTTTGGTTATTAATGAAATTTTCCAATTCCCAAAAAATTAACCTTCATATACAATCAAGAGTAAGTCGCTTGAATAAATTTCACAATGCTTCATTATGTCATTGCCAAAGACTAATAGGAAATCGGATAATATAAGCTTGATCATCAAAAAGAATAGGTAATGGGGCTTTCAGGCAAATGAAAATCAACATGTGTACTAAAACATAGTACAAAAATATCACAGGGAAGGGGAATTAATGAGTTATATTTATGAAGAAATGTTAGGTTTCTGGTTCCTACTTTCTCTTCTATAACATTTTCGAACAACCTAACAAGTTATTTTATTAAGCACAACCCAAATCTTGTTTCCCGACCCCAGTCAAAACAACAAGAAATATGGACATGTACAAGTTATCATTTTACTATTAGAAAATATTTTAACTTCTAAACATCATCCAAAAAAAGGGCGCATCTACAAGTTCTCATAACACGGTGACTATTTGGTAATTCAATCATGTAGTCACCTTACAATCTATGTGTAGTGCTTCATCTTTTGATTTCTTGTAGTCGGCAACATGCTTATGATACGCTTCAAGCTCCTCCTCTAACTTCTCAATGAATTGACTTGTATGCTCAAGTGACTGTTCATACCTGTATTTTTCCAGTGCCTGCAATTTTTAAATGTTAAAATAAAACCAGCACCAGGAAACTGCTTCTAAAAAAGCATAGGCCCAAAAAATAAATAAAAGAAAAGAAAAGAAAAGAAAGAGTCATCTAAGGTTCAAAAAATTGAAAATGTGGATCTACTGAGACTGAATCTGAGGGTAGAATCTCATCTATGACTCAAATCCAGTAAATGTGCAATCATTGCATGAGAAACTCCCTTTAATCTTCAATATAAAGAAAAAAGAAGTAAAGCTAAAAGAGGATTTATGACCCATAAAAGAATGACTTAACTTTAATTTTCAGGTGACATGAATTTTTTGTGTTGACTTTGCCTGGATTTAGTTGTTTGCACTTATTATGCAGACTGAGGGATTGTTACCTAAATTTGCTTTGTCAAGGGGGAAAAAAAAAAAAAAAACCATTGCTAGTTTTATTTTTTAAAAGATATATGGATAACTTAACCTGTCCTGCATCAACAGAGTATCACAAATTGAGAATAACAGTCATTTTCAGAAGCAACACATATCCTCTCAGAAATGATGATTCAGGAGTCAAGGCAGCATGCATGAAATAACATAGCTAATCCACTAATGACAGTATGGCACCATCTACTGATATATGAATGAAAATAAGTGACACGGTCAGACATGCACATAATACATAACTTTTTAATAATTCAGGGAGAAAGAGAAAAATTTTCAATTTGACTTATTTAATAAATGAATTTAAGTGGAAAACAGATTACTATAGGTAAAACAATTACCTTTTCTTTAGATAGAGTATCTGGTGGGGACATAACTGTTGGCTGCACATAATTCTTTCCACGGTAGAATAGTATGGCATTGTTTGGTTTTATGTCAATCACGATGCCTTTGCTCAGTCGAGCAAGTTCTTCAGCATATTCATGAACTTGCCCCGGCTTGCAGGGCTTGCAAATGACCTTAACAGTTTCATGCTTCTTCCAATGGAGATGCATGTTGAGAACAACACCTCCAAAAACTCCTCGTCTCCCAACTGGAACATAATTCTTTTTCTTCTCACCAGTGCGCTTTAAGTAATGTCTCTCTTCCTCAGTTAAAATTTCTGGATCATATGCCTCAGCTGGAGCCATGGGAACCTCATATTTTCTCAACTTCTCAATTAACCAGGCTTCTTTTCGTTTGGCCTGAGGAAAGTTATTCAGTAAAATGATCATAGCAGTTGAATTTTTTAAGATATGCAGACATCTAATAATTTAGATGGCTTTAAAAATATATATAAAAAAAAAAAAGGGAGATAAAAAAAAGAGAAGAAAAGAAAAGAAAAGCAAAATGTTTTCCAAATCTTCATTTAAATGATATGCAACGAAGCATATGATATTATCTTCACCTTAAACAGCCTGAAGGTGAGATTACTGTGAAATATCAAATAGAGAAAGAAAAATGAGTAATGTTTATGAAATCTTTAATAAAATCATGATCTGGCCCTTAGAAAAGGGATAGGACCACTTCCACACTTTATCACAGTCAATTGAACTGAACTCCAAGGTACAAAGAGGAACAACAAAGCAACTGCTTTAGCAGCTCTATCTTGGTAGCCACCAGCAAGACAGGAAAATGCTATTGTTGGTTCCCATAATGCAAAAATTCCACACAAAAACTAAGGTTACATACTCACGCATCAAAAACAATATGAGAGCTAACTTAAAATACATTGGCAATTTCAAAAGATGGCAAGCTAAAACACCAAAAGCTTTAGTAAATGATTAGAAATCTTCAGTATGTATGCATAACATTGGTTGAAACCCAGAGAGGAAGAGCAAATAACAGCATAAGGGGACTAAAATTTAAGTGTAATTAGAAAGAATAGATTTTTAGCCTTTACTTTTGAATGTTAGAGATAATTATTTCAAAATGTATCTAACCTTCTCAAGTTTGTATCTAATCCTAACTTCTGGGTTTGGAGAATTCATCTTCTTTTTGGCCTTCAGGCGATAGAATCTGAGTTCATTCAGTTTAGCCTTTTTAGACATTTTGACTCTCTTGGTTGTCCTTCCTTTTCTTGGAGAACCATTTTTATCAGATGACTTATTAACAGAAAACCTGATGACATCATCATCCATTTTCAGCTCAATTGCTGCATTACTTGTATGTCTAGCCAGTAACCATTTGCTAAGCGGACTCGAGCACTCAATCACATCTCGCCTCTGCAGCAATGAAAAATCAGAAGGAGAGGCTATAGAAGGAGGTTGTAGGGAAGGCCTTGCAGTTCTATAGCATCGCTGGTGTAGTAAACTTGATGCAAATGAGGCACTGTCTACACAAAGAGGCTCTATTTAATATATTGGACTCATTTTCAACTGAACAACAGAAAACAAGGATAAATAATTTCTGCATGAAGAGATAATCATCTGTTGCCAGAACCCATAATCCATTTCTCTTTAAAGATAAAAAAATTGATGCAGATTTTTTTTTTGGGACATAATGCAGATTTATTTAAATTTGAAAATTTTTAACTCCACTTCATGTAAATGTCAGTCACATTAATCTAACTGAACATTCCAAATGATCAGAAAAACAAAAAAAAAAAGAAGAAAAAATGGTGGGGGGGGAGAGAATTTCACTGAAAACAAGGGCAATGGCATCCGATTGAAAAGAACAAACCATGTCATAGTTTATCATAACATGTCACCAAATCACCAAATTCATTTATGACAACACAAGTCCAATGACCCAAATTATTCAGTAGTTCAAAAATTCATTTGCACTCAAATAAGCACCTTTTGGTTGCAGAGTAACAAATAACAATGCATCTTAACCAAAACTAGCAGCAATGGAAATCACAGAAGGGGACTGGTGTCCTGCCTCGAGTATGCAATTATAATTACAAAAAAACAGCAAGAACTATGAGTTTCTTTTCTAAAATGAATATCTTCATTTTCCTAGTCCACTTGATCAACCACCCTAAGCCCTTGTTTGGATAGAAAATAGTAAAGGGAAGGGAAGGGAGGGGAATGGAGGAAAATAAAAGGAAATGGAGGGGGAGGAAAAGAAAGGAAAGGGAAGAAAATAGAAAGAAATGATTTGTGTTAATTTTGTTTGGATAAATAAAAATGAGGAAGGGGAAGGGAAGGGAAGGATTGTATTATTTTGTGTTTGGATAATTAAGGTAAAAGGAAGGGAATGAAGGAAAAGATTTAAATTAATTTTAAATTTACAAATTTATCTTTTAAACTTGTAATGGAGAAGGATATAATAAAAAAATTAAGGTTAATTTTGTAATTACATTTAATTTAATCTAAACAGTCACTCAAATCCCTCCCAAACCCCCTAAATCGGACGGATTGCAAATCTGCAGATTTGAGGGTGGTTGGAGGGAGTCCGAATCAGTTCATCTCCCTCTCCTCTGCCTCTTTGGAAACCCAAACAGGAAGAAGGAGACAGCTCCCCCTCGCTCTCCCTCCCTTGCCATCCGTCCCCATCCCTTCCCCTCCCTCTCCGTCCGACACCTCCAATCCAAACAATACCTAACAAATATACAAAAAATTCAAACAAAACCTAATCATTGCTTCATTATTATAAAAAAAAATAGACCAACAAAGATTGTAAGGAGAAATTACGGACCTTTTCGTAGCAGAGGAGAACCGCCAGGCTATAGCTCTTATTGAAAGGAAAAGCACCATGGAATAAACCGACTTTTCTTGGTTATCCGTTAGGATCTGGCAAACACAAGTCATTCATTAAAGCAAAACATTAAGCAGGAATCCATAGCAACACTCAACTCAAGAACCTCATGTCCATTTATACATCAAAACTAGCTGAAATCTAGTATAACAAACAACGGAATAGAGCTCAATACGAAACAGATTTTGCATTCGATACTCAATCGCAAGTTACACCAAATACTATACTCTAATATTCAATAAGGAGTTCAACTGAACACAATAAAATCGATTCAGGAGAGAAACGGATAATACCTTCCTTCAGGCTGAAATCAACAACAAATTCTAACGACTTCTTTTCCCGTCATCTGCTCCTTACCTCCTCGGTCGGTGGCGGTTCAC